CGGTAGAGCGCGCAACTCTTCGCAGCCCAGCGGCCTCTGCTCCCCCCTGCGCCTCCGCCTCCTTCTCCGCCGCCGCCGCCTGACCATTTGTGTCAATCCCTCAACTCGCTCCCTCTCCTCTCCCTCGCGCGCCCTCGGACCGGTTTCCAGGCGCCCCGCAGTCTGTCTTTCACCAGGAGGGAGGAGCCTTGAAACCGACTCGGAACTGGAGGTTCAGGGACCGTCGCCCAATCGCGGCACCGGCTTCCCGGCGCAAAGGGAGCCCGCCGCTTACTTGCCTGAGCGAAAGCCGGCGGCGGGCGGGAGGAGGAGGAGGCGGGAGGAGGAGGAGGAAACAGTGGTGGTGGCAGAGGCACCACTCGGGCACAAAGAGTGGGTTTGCTATGAAGAGGGACAGGCTTGGTTGCTTTTGCTTTTGCGGAAGAAAGGGCGAGGACAAGTAGAATGGTCCCATATGCTGCTGGAGATAATGAATAGGAGTCGGAGCACCGCGGGACTTAGCTTTTCTTTTATCCATTTTCATGTTTAAAAATCCTGCTCTTAAGGCTGGTTACAAACAGCAAACCGAGAGCTGCGATCAGAACAGACGCCTTTGAGTTGAGGAGCGCACGGTTTCCTTTGAGTTTGTGTCTGTCGAGGTTTTGTTTAAAATATTACTCTGATAAATCCTAGAGCTCGCAGCCTGGGCTTGGCGGGCTTCGGACGCGCCATTTCCCCGGAGGAGAAGTTCACGGGATCGCTGTCAAATGAAGAAAAACAACAGCAAAACATAAACACAAACTTTGATGCAATTTAAAAAGCAAAGCCAGATGCGCCTTCCGCTACTATCATTCTTCTTGTCGTCAAACTCCTTTTGTCTCCTCTTTAATCAAGTCAGAAACAGAAGCAAAGAAAAACAATCCATTACATTTTTAGAGAGAAAAACTTGAGAACCCGACGAGGGAGGCTGGAGGGGCGCCTCTTGGGAAGCGTCTTAGCTGCTCAAGATCCCAAAGGGGGCGCCCGCCGTGGCTGCGCTCGCCGGCACCCTGGGCCCTCGGGGAGCTTCTGTGAGCCTTCCTAAACCCTAGGGACACCCACGGCTGGAGGGGAACTCCTGGGACCTGGGCCATTCACGTTCCACAGGCTGGGCTGCAGCATGTTTTTTCACCCCTATACAAAGCTGGAGACACCACTTTAAAAAACAAAACAAACAAAACCAAAACCGGAGTCTGAAAGCAAAAAGCAAACTGCACATTCCCTTAATTCCAAAACAAAACAATCCGTCTGAGCAGATGCACATTCTTGTTTTCCATGTAAGATTATTTTAAACGATGGTTTAACTACGTGACTCAGTTTTATCAATGAAGTGCCATTGTTTTATCAATTCTACCAATTATTTTCTATCATTCATTTATCCATTCATTTTTAAAATAGATACTTGCCAAGCACCCATTATGCTATAAGCGCCGTCTGAGCTCCTACGGTAGGAAGATGAAGGAGCCATGGTCCAGCCTTAGAGGAGGGCGTAGTACAGAGGGGCACAGAAATGTCAACCAGTTATCATAATGTCCACCCCGGGGCTGAAAGGGCATAAAAGTGAGAAGGTTCTGATGGAGAGGTAGGTAGAAGGTGCAAAAAGCACAACTTCCAAAGTGCTTTAAATTGCTGAAGGGTGCAGGGGGGGGTGAGTGTGGCTGGGACATTATGGAGGTAGTAGGAGAAAAGGTTTTAATTCATACTAAAAAGTTTGGTGAATTATATAGACAACGGAGCTATTGAAGGCCACTTTTTCCCACGTCAGCAGGGAGTGGCTTCAGGATGACTGTGAAAGAGGGAACCTGGGGCAAGCTGTCATTGGGAAGCTTTAACATTCCTCTACACATAAAGGTCACTACTTAAGATGGGTGTTACTTGTACTACATACTAACAAGGCTCTGTGAATTTCATCACATTGCATGTTGGTGTCTCTAAAGAATGTGCAGTCTTACCTTTTCCTCTTAAAGCAAAATGACATCTATTTGTCTCAGATACATACATTATTTTTCAAATATTCATAGAGGCAGTAAATTCATAAAATACAAGGGTACTTAGAAAAGCTCATGAAAAAATACAATTGAAAGGTAATACAAATCTATGAACTTTCTGGAGAAACTTTATATTTGTTTAAAAATATTTATGATTCCTAGTATTTTTTTTTAAAGCCACAGGTACTAAATGCACAATAGGTATCATATGTGAATATGTGTGTGTTAGTGTAGGCCATAATTCATGGCACAGTTTGATATTGAAAAGAAGGTCGGGAAGCACAGATGCTCTCCGAGGTCCTTTGAGCACTCACATTCAGTAACTCTTCATTTTGCCCTCCAGCATCCTGGACCACAGGCTCGCAGGGACACTTTTACTCTAGCCTTCCACTCTGATGCTTATTCTTCTGCTCATAGTATGCCATGCATAGGAACTCTACAAAGCCATATCTCTTCTATCACTCCTCTCTTGTAAATACTTACCTGTGTTGTGTTCCATTCTCTCAATATCATTCCAGGTGACTGGGCTAGGCAAAAAGTGAATATATTCTAATGTATTAATTACCAAGAAGCATTACATGCACTAAGCATCCACCACCACCATTACCCCAAATCCTTCCCTTTCTCCCTCACGCAGATATGGCACAGGAAATATGGCAACACACACTCAGTTCTGTTTCTCAGCATAAGTTGACACTCTCCCGCTTCAAAAGTTGTTCTATTGAAATTCTTGAATTTGTTTCATCTTCTTCTGAACAGTGAAGTTTATTAGGGAGGGGGCTCATCAGTGCAGCCACAATTAAAAAGAAGAGGAAAATGTTTCATTCTTACCAGGTCACAGAACTGGAAGGAACCAAAGACACTATCTAGGAAACAGTCTTCTCCAATCTACAATGAAGAATATCCAGTCCAGAAATGTTAAGGCATGGCTCAAGTTAAATGGCCTTGTTTGACTTGAATTTCATTAGATGCTTATTTTAATCCTTTCTATATTCTTTTGAGTAGCTATGGTCCTTTTTATTTCTTTTTTAAAAAGTCAGCTTTTGGTAGAAGTTCTCTTTCAATACATCGTGTAGAAAAAGACTTTACGATTTCTAAAAAATCATTTTCTGAGAGTTGTCTTCCAAAGTTTAAAAACCCAGCAAACTTGATTTTCTATTTATTTATTATACTGATATAATAGTTCATTTATCAAACCTATGCAATGCAGAGCAAGCTGTTAAAGTCAGAAACAATAGAAAGTTGTAACCACCAACAACTAATGTTATGGAAGGAAGTCTTTGGGGGAGGTGATGAAGGTCGTGGAAAACAATATATTAGAAGAGAAATATGAGCAGCATACTTTAGCCTAAAATATATTATTTTCTCAGAGTGTGGAAAGGTTTTATTCAGATCCATGGATAAAAGTTACTAAGTAAGTATGAACTATTATGAACTTAGTAATAAAATATTTCAATTAGGTCAAAACTATGAACATAACCCAATTTCTCCTTGATATCGGTTTATCAAGCATCAGACTCAGTTGAGTTTTCCTATATCAAAGTTCTTGTTTTATCAGGCCTTCCTGAATCTTCTGAAGTTTCTCCAGACTGCTTATATTGGGTTGCAGTGGATAATGACCAGGGATAGAGATCCAGTTCCAATTACATACAGTTGAGCGTACATGGACACACAGCATTTGGGAGAATGCTCCAAGTAATCTGAGGGAACTTAGCCTTTCAGGTGAGTTGTTTTGTTGCTGGCTTATGGGTGACAAGCTTGAATTGTCTTTGTTGAATAATGTGGGTTAAAACTGTATTTCTGAGCACCTACCATGTGTACTTGGCATTGCTTTACACTATGTGTATACATGTTGTATCGCTTAAACTGTACTTGGCAGCAAGTACTAATTATTGTCTCCTTTTAATAGATGAAGAATCTAAGGCTCAAAGTAGTTAAATAATTTGTGTAAGATCCCATAGTCAGTAAGTGGCTGAGTAGGCTTATGTCTGACCAAAGTCCATGGACTTCCATTGAGTAACATTATGTGAACATGTCCACTCCTAAAAATTATAGAGGAAAAGGTGGTTTCTGGGTGCACATTATGGTGATTTTTCAGTATCTAACATAGTTTTTTATACCAGAATATATGTGGTAGGGGTATAAACGTTGGGATTCACTGATGAGTTAAACCAGCGTTTTCCGAATTGTATTCTATGAAATATGGTATCTTCTTCAAGGATGTTCTGTGAAATTAATTTGCTCAAATAAGTTTGGGGAAAGGCCATACTGTATATATTTATTGAAGATTCATGTTATCTTAATAAAATCTCTGAAAAGTGCTGAGGTAAAGAACTCTTTTAAAACTTTGTGTTATCTAGAGTTCCCACATTTGAAATATACATATATACACACACACTTGGAATACACACACACACATATATACACAGAAATATATAATATATCAGTATTTTGCTTCACATTGGTGCTCTGGAATACTGTTTCAGAAATGCTGGATTAGACCTAATATATTGTGAAGTTATATTTTATAAGGTTAGACTCTCAACTCTGTATCACTTTTGCATGTCAAGAAAAGAAAGTGAGAGCTTGGCCTACTATGCTTTGAGTTCCTGACTCTTCTTAACTTCCTAGTGAAGGGATGTTGATTGCTGAGGGAGCTGATGGTAATGGAGGAAGCTCAGACTATACTATTCCTTTCTGGGCGGCATCACCTAGGAGTCTATTATATAGTCTTTGTAGAGACACATCAGGCGTAACTCTGCCTAAGCTTTCAACATAGATCTCTACCTTGTTTCTTCTTGAATTTCCAACCCAGAATTTCTGCACAAGCTAATTCTTATCTTCCCAAATGTCTGTATTCTTTTGCAACAATTTTAAAAATAAATCTCTTCTTTCTTCATTTTTTTTCTTCATTCCTACACAAATTTGTTCTTGACATTGGTGACATAGTTCTTGCATTCACTCACACACAGAGCCTCAACTTATAGACTCTATTTGAAAGGTCGCTTCTTTAAAAATATATATATTTAGGGCCGGCCCGGTGGCGCACTGGATAGTGCGCCGCTTGGGAAGCGCGGCAGCGCTCCCGTCCGAGGGTTCGGATCCCACGTACAGACCGGCTCCCGCTCACTGGCTGAGCGAGGCGCGGGAGCAACACCGAGGCTTGCGATCCCGTCGCCGGTCCCCGGTCCAGTACGGGGGCAACACTGAGGGTTGCAATCCGTTGCCGGACACGGAAAAAAGACAAAAAAAAAAAAATATATATATATATTATATATATTTAGCTTTCCATAAAACAACTTATTGAAAGAGATTGTCAGTGTGATTATCTTGACTTTTATCTTATAGGGTACTTATAGATGATTCATATTAAGATCCTAAACTAATTTATCATTTGATAGCCAGCCATAATTTGTTAGAATTTACATTTCATGGTAAACCTTAAAGGTTCAATATAGGTGGGTGTATTTAGTAGATCTAAATGTGAATTATGGATTACTTGCACACAAATCTCACAAAATAAATTTTTTAAAAAATAGAAGTATGAAAGGAAAAAAATCATCACTGTTTACCAACAAGGTAGGATAATATCCCAACCTTTCTTGTAATTCAAATATTAAACTATAGAAGGAGGTTTTGCTAAATGCGTTAATTGAATATCAGTTTCCCAAAAAGACTGCATATAAACAGCTATCTCATGACTCTGCTTTAATTAGTTCTGTTGTCAATGTGCAATTGGAAAGTGTATACAACCTGGAAAAACTTTGCGAACATACAGGCATTTATACTAGATTGAGAATGTAGTCCTCTGTGAGACCCTGAGAACGAAATATAGATGATCCCTTGTAAATTAAAACCTTATGCCTCATGTGCTGAAAGAAACCTCTCTGATTGGCTAAGATGTAGGGAGCTGAGTATGCAATCAGTTTGGTGCAGAAAGAAGTTTTTAAGAGAGCTAATAAAACTTGTGCTTCTGTAAGTGAGCATTTCTGCTCTCCCTTCTGGATAACAGACGTGTTTTGTGTATGGGGGAAATAATGTTATATATCTTTCAAAATCACATTCTGATCAAATTGTTTCCTTTTTGTTTATTTCTTTCTTACTTTAACCAGAATTTTCTGACTGAACCTTAACAGGAAAGTCAATCCACGGTTTCTAAAGTGTTGGTACAAATTCTTCTTAAAATAATGTCTTTGGAATTATGATTAAGTACAAAGTGAGCATGCATCAGGCATTTTCATGTCAGTTATGACAATACTTCTTTGTCAAGGGTAAAGAAAGCACTGGGCCATTTGTGCTTTACTAGAAATCAAAGGCTGAAGAGATACCAATACTTAAAAAAGAAAAAGAAAAGGACATTTTTCCCCATCCCACATGAAAGTTATCATATCATAGTACCTGACTTAACCTTCACAACAACTCTGATGCAGGTAGCAGGATGATCACCCTCATTCAAGACACAGAAATGGAGCCTTAAGAACTTAGCTTGCTCACACAGCCTGTCAGTGGGAGAAGGAGGATTCAGATTCAGCTACCACACGTATTACCACAGCTGCCAAGGGAAACAAGACACATGCCATAGCTTTTGTAACCTAGTTAAAGAAGGCTCATTAGGAAATACAAAATTCTTCCAAAAATGTAGCTCTAAGATAGTCATTTGGATCTTCTAATGTAAAGGATATCAAATACCATCAGGGCAGTGTCAGAAGGCCATTTCTTACACCTAACCATGGTAAAAATCAGACCATAATGATGAATCAGTCTTATTTGGGGAAAAGTGTTTCTGTAGGCAGGCAAAGCAATACACTTAATATGTAGCTTTTCTATCCAAGTTGAACCAGGGGCAGACCTTTAGGGGATGTGCTTACCATCCTCACATTTATTCTGCACCTGAAGAAAGGCCTGGACATGGGAGTATTCTTCAGTGCGGGGTAAAAGGCATTGTCGTTTCTTCATTTTATTTATTTATTTTTTTTGGCAGCTGGCTGGTATGGGGATCCAAACCCTGGACCTTAGTGTTATCTGCACCGTGCTCTACCAAGTGAGCAAACCAGCCATAGCCCTCATTGCCATTTTTTTTTTTTTTTAAATCATGGAGAGTTTTCCTTGCTTTACTGAGCTTCAGTTTCCTCATTTATAAAATACAGTGACAATCTAATAGGTATTGTTTATCTTGCTGACTTTAATATATTGTGATTCTGACCACAACAAAGAGGTTTATGTGTTTACATTTAGCAGTCAGAGTATTAATCATTAGGCAAGTGCATTTGGTAAAACTGCCTCAGCACATTGATTCCAGGAATTTCTGCATTATTGATCTGATAGGATGGAATGCAATCGGGGTTCATTTAAACCAAGGGCTTTTATTTTCAGCTCCCATTTCCCCTCAGTTCTCTCATGAACAGAAGTAAGGGAATGTCTGTGTACATGGGCTACTGTGCTTTCCCTAGAGGCGTTTTGATCTGTGGAGTTCATATGGCATTCTGTTTGTTGCAGGCCCTTCAAATTAACACAAACATTTAGCTTAGAAAGTAAACTTTGCAATCATTAGAAACTACCTATGTATTTGAAAAATATGCATGTAGATAAAGACTGGGTCTGATAATTTTGATATAGTTAAATTTTCCCTTTTTATCTCATTATTACCCCCACATCCATTATTTTCTAAACATTCCATATTCCCACTTCTGTGTAACAAGCCACCCCAAATTTAGTGGCATAAAATTAGGGCTATTCTATTATGCTTATGATAAATGGGGTCAGAATGTGGACAGAGACAGTGGGAATGACTTGTCTGTCCTCCACAAAGTCTGGAAACTCAGTCAGGCAGTTGAGGGCTAGAATAGTTGGGGCTGGAGAATCCACTTCCGAAATGCCTGACCCCTTGGCAGGGCTGGCTAAACTCTGATAGGACTGTCAGCCAGAGTGCTTACAAGTGATCTCTCCAGCATGGGAGCCTCAGGGTAGCCATGAACTTCTTACATGGTGGCTCACTGTTCCAGCAAACAATGCAGAAGCTGGGAGTTCTTCATGACATCTTGGAAGTTACACAGTGCCACTTCCAACCTATTCTAATGGTCAATGCAGTGACAATGTGACCAGATGCAAGCGAAGGGGACATAGACACCCCCTCAATGGGAGCAGGGTCAAATAATTTGTAGCAATTTTTAAAAACTGCCGCACTAAGAAATCTGAATTTATAAAATAATTTTATGTTATATAAAAGGTTAAAAATAGCTGTAATAATAACATTTATGGAGTACTTACTACGTGCTAGTTAATTCTCACCTTAGTTCTATGAGGGATGTCCTATTATTATCTTCATCTCACAGAAGAAGAAATTGAGGCTTAGAGACTGTCTGGCTATAGTGTATAGGAGCTTAACCACTGGTCTACATAGCTATCTAGAGTACAGTCTTTTAAGAATTGTCAAACAAAATTTTTAAAGGTATGGGCCCTTACCAAATGTTAGGAAATGTTTTGAAAAAAAATTGTTATTAAAACAGATTTGATTGAACAAAATGTCTCACCTCTACACAGACACCTGTACTTTGGCAGAGTATTTTCCAGACAAGATTGGGCAAGCTGGAACTGGCAGAGCTGGAACCTTCCCCCAGAAGAATGGGATGAGTCACAAACCCCAAGGGTTACCGTATTGTGACTACTGGGAAGTCAGTCTTTTGTCCTTGAGTCTTAGTTGGATTTCATTCCATAGTTCAAAAGTGGTTTTGCATCCAGAATTTTGCATATCCTAATTCAAAGTTGTTTCATCTTTTGGGGCAATTAGAAAGTAGATGGCTAAAGCACAGAAATACAAAGCTCTCATTTCTTGAACTCAATTTTCACGCATCTGACCAAGTCATCTAGCAGGTTCATGTCCTACAAAAAATATAAAATTACAAAGAGACACACCTCTGTGATGAATAAAAAAACCTGTGTCCTGCAGGAGCCCTGCTTCTTACTAAAATACCTCAGCATCCAGCTAAGAAAGTGTAGCCCTTGTGATGCCAGCCCAGCTGTGGAAGTACTAAGGGCTTGGGGAGTAGGAAACAACCCCAGAGTTTTGTGGCTTTAGAACCAATCTGGACACTGAAATTTCAACTCTGACAGCCCTTATTTCCAGTTTACTTCATATGTAGGGATTGGGGTAGTCAGGAAATGGGATTAGCTCTTTGTGCTGCAAATGGCTGTCATGGCGGCTCTGTGCTCACACTTTGGCCACCAGAGACTGTGCCAGTGTTGTTCCTGCTGCACACCTGCCCTCCCATCAGTCGGTCTGTGATGAGCCACACAGCCCTGCAGCGTCCACTGCTTCCCAGAGCTACCATCCTCCCCTCCTGCACTGAGATTTTCCTGTCTATGGTAAGAAAGTTCATTCAGCCAATCTTGTCATCCAAAGGTAGACAGGGTCTTTGCACTTTACTCTTTCTGCCATCAAATAATATAGGATGTTTCCCAAAGGTTGAGCTATGTGACTACCTGAAAAATTTAATCAAAGGTTTCAATTCAAAGCATTTCTCACCAACATGAAATCCAAACCCATGATGGTCCTGCGGTCCAGCCATAGTGAATTCTCATTCTTTCCCAGGCACTTCACGAAGAGCTGCGTTTGTCTTGTATTTCCATCTATTCATTTAATCACCAAATATTTATGGAATGCCAACCACGTGCCAGCCACTCTTCTTGTTGCTGAAGATACAACACCAAACAAGGCAGACACCTTCCTTGTCTCCACAGAGCTTTCAGAACAAATATTTATACCATTCATTCATATATGCATGCATGAGTGCATTCCAGTTGGTAGAAATGGTGTTAAGTCTTTTTGTTGGGAGTTATAGACAACTCTGGATAGCTTCATCAAAGAAAGGAATGCATGGGAAAGACATGGACATGTCTAACAGGATCCAAGGAAGAGATAAACATGTATAATAACCAAATTAGCTCTATCTCTTTGGCAGGAGTTTATGAATCTTCCTTCTGATATGCTTCATTAATGTGGCTTAGTTATCAACAACTCCAAGTCTTTCTGTTCAACAGGAAATGTCATTGGTCCAACTTGAGTGTAATGTCTGCCCTTGGACTGACTGATCTGAGGCAGGGATGCTGATCTTAAGGACAGACACGGCTGTTGGGAGCCACCCTCAAGTAACAGGGTAAGGCCCCAGAGAAGAGATCAGCCAGCCTTTGCAAATTGTTTATACAATAGAAGTAGGAATTGTCCCAAAAGCCTATGACCTAATTTGAGAAGGGAATAGGATCAAAGAAAATTTCACTATGGATGAAAAATATAATCTCATCACCTGAAGGATGAAGAGGAATTAGCTAAGTTAAAAGCATGGGAAGGAGAGAGAGTGGGACATAATGGTCAACAGATATGGTGTCTGCACTCAGAGGCAAGAAAAAATAATACATGTTTGAGGACCAGTGAGAAGCCTGGATTATAGCCAAGGGCATATCTTAACTCTAGTGGACTGGAGGCCTTATCTCAAACCCCTCATCCTTTTTTATCAGCTCTCCCAGGAAGCCAGCGGACTTGTTATGGCCAGTTAGGACATTCCCAAGTTCCTGGGTAGGGCATACAGAGTAGGCTTTTCTTTAGTGTTAGTAAAAAAGTAGTTGACACCTCTGATTTATGGTTGGTTTTGCCTTCCACAAATACTCCTCTTCTTTGGGGAAATATATTGGCTTTTCTTTTTGGAAAAAAAAAGGTTGATTTAAATTCACTTCACCTACTTTCTCTAGGTTTCATAGATATGCCACCTGATCTTTATATCTATAAAACAGAACTATATAAATTCTACCTGAATTTTAAGTAGTTTTTAAAGCAGCTCTTGCATTTTAAGAGTCTATAAAATTATTTTCTATTAACCTAAGGCCAGAAATTGAGCCTTTTTGTTCCTTTGGAGAAACAGTAACTATTAGGAGTTGCATAATATGAGATTCTGACTCAGATTTATTAATACTTTAAGGAATAATTTCAAATAGATATTATGATGACTGTGGTGATTTGAGCTGAGCAAATGTCAAAGTCTGTGGTGGATTAAAGATGGCTAAAAATTCCTTGCCACTTCTCCCGTCAAGAGATGGGGGTTTATTTCCCCTGTGTTTGAATTTAGGTTGGCCTTGAGACTTACTTTGTGCTCTGGTAAGAAGGAGAAGGAAGTGATACTGTGCTGGTGCCAGGCCTAAGCCTTCAAAAGACAGGCAGCTTCCAATATTGTGCTCCTGAGAGCCAGCTGCCATGCCGTCAGGAAGCTCCAGTAGACTACTGAAGGATAAGAGGGCATGGAAGGTCCTGGAGTGTGAGAGGCCATCTTGTGAATACCAGCACCAGCCAAGCTCCAAGCTTAGAGCACCTCCTGAATGACCTTACTTATACCTTGGGAGAGCAGAGAAACTGCTCAGCTGAGCCCAGTCAACCCACAGAATTGTAAGACATAATATATTTTTGTTGTTTTAAGCTATTCGGCTTTGGGGTTGTTTGTTATGCAGCAATTGACACTGCGGCAGTTTCCATGTGGATTTCTTTTCCATTTCTTTAGGAGAATTTGGATTTTTTTGTTGTTGTTGTTGTTGTTAGGTTTTGGTGTGTGTGTATGAGTGTTTGTGTGTGTGTGTGTGTGTGTTTTAGCATTTTTTGTTTTACTAATTCTTTAAAAAATTGTTTTACTAATAATTAATTCCAAAAATCATACAGCAAAAAAATAAATCTTCTTATCCCTTTATTTAATCACCCAGTTCTACTCCTAAAGGCAACCACTTTTGGCAGTTGCTTAGGCACATACATATATATTGTCTTTTTTTCATTTTTTTCTTTTTACATGCAGATGGTAAGTTACTATACACATGGTTCTATACCTTCCCCAAATCACCAATGTATTTTGAAGGTAGTTCCATACTCTACGCACATAAGGCTGCCTCATTCTTTTTAATGACTACATAAAATTCTTTTGCATGATGTAACACAGTTTATCTAACCAGTCTCCTATTCATTATTAGTTTGTTTTTAATCATTTACTTAAAATAATGCTTCAGTAAATGGCTTTGTATCTATATCATTCTGTACATATGCAAGTACATGAATACATACCTAGAAATGACCAATCCTTTGTTGGTCCAAAGGTTACGTATGTTTTTAATTTGATAGCTGATACCAAATTATCCTTCATGTAAGTTGTACCAAATTATACTCCCACCAGCAAAAGGTGAGAATGCCTGTATCCCTACACATTTAGGCCAAATTCTTTCATTGTTTTATATAGTTTTACAGTTGATTCTCTAAGATATTCTGATAATTATAATTTTATCTATTTCCTTTGTATTTTTTATTTCGTTTCTTTCTCTTGTGTAATTGTTTTGCTAGTACTTCCGGAATAATATTAAACAATACTGGTGATAGTGAGCTAATTGTCCTGTTCTTGATCTAATGTGAATACTTATTACTATTTTTCCACTAAGATTAAATCTGGGAAAAAAATAAAGCTGACATTTGGTATGAGAGAGATATTTATTTTATCATGTTAAGGAAACAGTGTTCTCCTATTACCTCCTACAGCACAGAGTTGTTATCAAGAAAGGATGTTAAATTTTATCAAATTTCAGCATCTATGGAGTAGTAATAAGAGTTTGTCTCCTCCAATCTGTGAATTATATTAGTAGGTTTCCTATACTGTGCTGTACTTCCATTCTTAGAGTAAACCTCATACACTTGGTCATGGTATATTAGTCTTTTGATATTTTGCTGGTTCCTAGGTGCTAGAATTTTTATTTGGGACATTGTATTTTTGTTTATAAATGAAACTGGTCTGTTGTTTAAAAGGAAACTCGATAAGGAACTATTCCATCAGACACAAAAGTAGTGATAGTGTGAATGGACAAATCACCAAATGGAAAATTCTAGAACATAGAAAAGATGCTAAGGACAAGGGAAGGAGGCCACCTCTCCCATGAAAGAGGAACGGGGGTGGGAGGGTGATGGTGGAGAAAATCCATGAAATCCCAAGGTGGCATGGAGGAAAACCAAAGCAGCTGACATGAGATGACGATTGGATCCCAGTCAGTGGAGGTAGAGATCTTATGCAGAGGAGGAGGGAAGTTGATGCCTGCAATAACGACCTGTTGGGAGAGATATCAGTCCACATATATAATAAATAGGCAGGCTACGTGTAAAAATATCTTAAATCATAAATGGTGACTCAGGGCAATTGTGCCAGCAATTGGAAGCAAAAATAATCAATTTTCTCTAGAAAACACTTAATAGAGAAAGTAAAAGTGGGTAAATTTGACCTCCGTGGTCCAATCCTTAGCCCATGTGTTATTCATATACGAGTGGACTGCCTTCTCATTCCTTTAGTGGAATGAACTCTCCAGCACAGTGTCTATAACTAGAGAAGGGACACATCTCTGGAACAAGGGAAATGGCTCTTCTTGGGACTTAGATCATCCTTTCACTCCCACAGTTGTCAGTGTCTGGGCAATCAAGCAAGTACAAGTCCCAGGCCGGGTGGAAGCGGCCATCTGGAAGCCCTTCTGCTTTTGATGACCCTGGAAAGCCTATTTTATGTTCTCTCACAGGGGAAGGGAACTGAACCTGGAAACCATTATATGTTCTGTCCTGAATGCCTGCAACCCTAGGAGGAATCACTGTGACTTTTATTTGTTTAAATGTCTTGATTTTAGCAATGATATCACCAGAAGCTATTAAGTTTAATGAGATGAGATAATTTACAGGGTTTATTAATATGACACTAGACATATTCTGCTCCTGCAGTTCATTAGCTGGGTGACTTTGGACAAGTTTATTTAATGACGGGGAGTCTCAGTTTTCTCATCTGTAAAATGGCTGTCATAAAAATAGCTTCCCTGATTACCTCACCGGGCTGGTGTGTAAGGATCAAATGAGATAATGAATATATATAGCACTTAGAAAACACTCTCCAAACATAAGGTATCTTGCATAAGTCACCATAAAAAATATCTTTGCTTACTATAACAGCTCATCCCAATTCTGAGGCAAACTGGTGAGAGAATATTGCTCTTCTTTTTTCCCCAAAGCACAAATGAAGAATGTCCTTTCTTCTATACTTTTACGAGGATTTTGAATGGAATAGATTGATGAGTTGCTGAGCTTCTGATACTCTCTTCTGAAACTGTCTTTTCCAGTTACTCTTCTAGAATACCAGCTGGTTATCACCTGGAGTAGAAGCACAGTCAGAGGGGACAGGATCACTAGCTGAATGGGGAGATTCTGCCTGGAATAGGGTTAAGAAACTAACCATTGACAGGAAAAAAAACTTTGACTGGCCTAAGAGAGAAAGAGGACATTTTCAACAAATAGTAATTAAAAACCTAATGACTTCCGAATATTCCCGTGAAAGGCATAAAGTTAGGGAACAGACTATGTGGATTTGAATCTCAACTCTGCCATTTACCAGCTGTGGGACCTTAGGCAAGCTCCCTAACTTCTCCATGCTTTAGTTTCCTTACCTGCACAATAAGGAATGCAAGGGTACCTCCTTCATAGGGTTATTACAAGGATTAAATAAGTTAATATTTTTACTAAGCACTTAGAAGAGTCCTGGCACATGCAAATGCTATATAAAGATTTATTAAATAAGATATCAGGTGGATGGTATTTAGTATGTCAGATTCTGGAATTAAACCTCTATTAAACATAGAGTTTTGCTAATTAGGTGCACATCATTGATTCCACACTGAATGCAAAGTTTAAAGAGTTTGTGAGTTTACAGACCTAAATGTAAATATTTTCAAAGACATTTTCAGTGCTCAGTGTAAAAACCACACACGAACACCTTAAAGATAGTTTTTTACACAACATCAACTCAGGTTTGAGATCTGTGATCTCAGATGTGATCTCAGACCGGACAATCCATTTAACCTCTTCACGCTTCAGCTGCTCTCTCTGTAGAAATGCAATAAAAAGGCTTGTTTTGCAAGGGTGTCATGAAGATGAAAATGAGATAATGTTTGTAAAATTTTCAGTTCTTGCCCTGAGAGGCGCCACCTAAATACAGATTGTAATTATTAGCATCATCTCATATCCATTAGGAGACTGGTTTGAATGCCATTATCTTATTAAATGACTAAAGCCAATCTTAGAAATTACAACGTTGGGAGATTGGATAGTGAGGAACATAATGCCAGACAGCTTCCTGCATGAGAGCGGTTGAGAAGGCACCATCAGACTCTGCTGTGCTAAAAGTCACTTGTAGCACTACCCAGATTATCCTAGGATAGAGCCTAAGAGGAGAACTTAAACACTTTGCAAATATGGCTCTCTTGGGGTTACCGTCTGATTCATGAGCATTACCAAGTCCACAGGAATCTGGAGCAGGAAGATTTGGAGCGTGAGTTTCCTACCCAAAGTTCATCAGCCGCATTGGCTGAACAAAGCTCTTCGGAGTGGTTTAAAATTTTGTGGAACTCAATGACTTTAATCTTCTCTTGCTTGTTCCAGGTTTACATGGGATAGACAGTAGCTAACAAATGTTCAGAGAATACATTAATAAACTGAGAGAGGCAGAAGATCTTTCTACAAAATTCTACTATTTCTAGGGGGCAGAATACGGGGGGATACCAAAATGGGAGATACATAAAGTTGGTGATAAGTAAGGTGATTTTAGGTGGTACACAGATGAATATTATATACATACACATACACACTTATACACACACACAAATATACGTGTGTGTGTGTGTGCGTGTGTGTGTATAAAAGTTAAATATAGGGCATAACACCTGTGCATTCATGAATATTATTGCTTAGGACAAAGAAAAATAGTTGGCAGTTAAAAAAGATGGTTGGCATTAAGGAAAAATGTACTTGACTTAAAGAAAAAGATTAGGTAATTAATAGTAATATAAAATAATACTGCAGTTTTAAAGCAAAAATCACAACTAAAGTTTAGGAAACACCATCTTAGAAGAAAGACGAAAGCCTGTGTTCCTTGTTTTCACATTTCTGAGTATGGGATTTAGATTCCAGTGCAGAATTTAGAGAACGATGATTTCTTCATCTGGATTGATCACAACTGTTTGTAAAGCACTTTTACATGCTTTCACTTTTTTTCAGGTCAGGCCTAATTGTTTCTGTTTAATAGATGAGGAAACAGACTAAGAGTCCTTGAAGAGTTGTGCAATAACAAGCTGGCCAGTGAATAAAAATCTGCATATGTTGTAATACTGCTTAGGGAAAAGAAACATATGCTAAGTGGTTTTCACAAAGAGAACTGTTTACTGCAACCAGTCGTCCTTCATTTAACTCCTTGAGAACCCACATTAGTAACGGTGGTCCTGTTTATCCAAGGTCTTTCATCTACCTTGTGCTAAGCGCTGAAAATATGTTGTTAGTGTTTAAGGATCTGGAGATTTCACCTAAAAATCCAGTGCCTGGCTTCACTTAAAACCATGTGAAGGTCAGGCAAGACCAAGTCTGGGGTCCTGCTTTGTTAGGCTGGAGCTGTGTGCTCTCCAGCCTGACATGGCCCTTCGCTGGGCTCACATCTCTTTTGCTCATTTCGTTTTGCAGAGCCCAGGTGCAGAGAGCAACCTAGGCAAGTCATCAGCTCTCCCTAAGGAATGACAAAAATGATCACAACAGACTAACGTGTGAAAAACCCAGGGTGGAGAAAACCATATTTTCATAGAACCTAAGGTTAAATATTAAAATAAATAATATTGATCATGTTGCCTGCAAAATATTTTTACTCCTTTGGCTGTTAACAAAATTCTGGCATATTATTTGCCATCCACAGCACAACTTGGAGAAATAGATTAGGCAGGGATTATTATGCACATTTTACTGATTATGAAATTGTCCAAAACAGAAAGAAGCTTCCTAGAAGCGGAGCCTGAGACAGGGATTAGGTGCAGGTGATTTCTTGAGAAAGTGCTTTACAAGAAAATCCTGGCAGGGAAAGAGTGAACTAGGAAAGGGAAGAGAAAGGATGTGGTCTCAGGGCAAGTACAGCCTTGGCCTGGACCATGGGGAAGGGTTCTGCAGCATTCACCACACCACAGAATTGCTCTCTCTTGAGGCCAGAGTGTCTGCCTTTTGTATCCCTTATTGATCAGTCATTTTCTGTGGCCTTCCCCCACAAACTTCATCGGTGAGATGGCTCCTCTACTAGCTCAGGGAAATTTTCCCAGAAGTAGGGGCATCTGTTGACCTTCAGCAGCCAACACTCAAAGCAGCTGGGGGAAGGTTCACTGGCCCAGCAAATGGCATGGGGTTGAGGAGAACACCACAACAGCATCTTCCTTAAATACTGAACACACAGTTACTCACAGGGTGAGCACTTTCTACTCCAGCAGGGTGCACACACACACACACACACACACTCACACTCTGTACACACTGTGTTTCAGAAGATGGCAATTTCAGAAAATACATAAAGCTTCCTTCCCAAACCAGAAAGGTCTCAGTCTACATTTTGAGGATTTGAGAGAAAATGGTCCCACCTTTATAAAATCCAATTTCACAGCTAATTCTGTGCAAACTATGGAAATATTGAAAATCGAAGTCTAAGATTTTTTAGATCAGTATACAGATAAAAATATACATATAGATATACATATATAGAATATATATTTATAGGTATATAATATATGTATGGATGTAAATATAGATGTAAGATCTGATTGTTAATGTTTGGCGAAAATATCTTGCCTCAGAAAATGGAAAAGATTTATGTTCAAAGAGTTTAGCAAACAAATTCCCCTTCAACCGAACCTACCCTCTTGGGATTTGTCATAAGAAGGAAGAAAGAATTTCTAAGAAATATCAGGTTGTCTTCTGGCATATTCTTACTTTGTTCTGAAACAATTTGCGCTAAGAAGCACATTTCATCAAGTATAGAAGTATAGGTTTTACAAACTGTGAATAAAAGAGAAAAAATGGAAAAGGAATCTAAGGTTGTATGAAACAGGGTTATATTTTTAACCATTAAAAATTCTGGATAAAGATTTTTACAGAATTCTCCTTATTAAAGGATTCTAACCATGTGTACATCCCTCATGATAGAGACTGTCAATATTAGCAATTGTGGCAAATTAGGGAGAAAATAAACAGGCAAAAGTCCAAAGTAAAATACAGTTGACTTTATTTCTTTTCATAACACCTTCCAGATATCACTCCAAAGCTATTATCATAACTGAATATTTTACATAATGGAAAGCACAGGCACCTCAGATCTCCTTCTGCATGACAAATGTTTAATTAGAAAAATAATAGGGTGGAAATGAAATTGGTATTTACTATGACTGGAACAGAGAATTGTTCTGGAGAAGAAAATTCAGTTTTAATTCACCAAAGGCCAAAAAAAAAAAAGGGAAAAAAGCAAGCAAAAAAGAAAAGAATCTTAAATGAACACTGAAAAAAATCAAAGACTAAAGTGTATGGCTTGTGCCTATAATTGGAATGGAATCCCTTTCTCTCTCTCTCTCTCTCTCTCTCTCTCTCTCTCTCTCACACACACACACACACACACACACACACACACACACACACACACATGCACACACACACACACCAAGGCCCAACACAATAAAAAAAAGTGATATGTGATATTAAAATTCTTAAATTGATAAAGTTCTTTTTAATTGCTTGTAAAAAAAGAAAAAAGTCAGGCCCTCTAAATGTTTCATTTCCATCAGATTAGATAAAGTGTATACCAAATTAGTGTATAGTCCAATTTTGCACTGCATTAGCAACCTAATTATAACTGTGAAATAATTCAGTGTTGAACCATATGCTAAAATATGGTAATTGCTATTGTATGGTTTTTAAAGGACTAGCTGCATTTTCCTGTGTCTTTTTGAGGCCTTGTTGGTGATTAGTTGCTTTTCGTCAGCAAGTCAGAGGCCATAAGGCTCTTCCTTATCACAAAATACTAGAGCTACAGTAATTCTCCCTCTTTGCGTTTATTTGCAAATTTCTTTAACAGGGTTACATCTTGTTATAGAAAAATTGGATAGGGTCCCGTACAAGTTGGGTTCTGAATCCTTTGTCCATCTCAGTTTTATTCTTCTGTGCGCTGGGGACTGTGTTGGGCTTCTTGTTATGTGATGGGCAACAATTGTCAAGATGCTTTGTGTTAAAGGGCAGTGTCCGGGTTTTATGAGCTGGTGTCCTTGGGTAGGACCAGCTGTCCTTAGGGGTGGACGTTCCAAACTCGGTGCTGTGTTGTAGGTAGATCTAGCAGCTGGTGCAGGAAACCAGTAGAAGAGGGTGGGTTATAAAGAGGCCATCAACCTGAACCCCACTTTCCTCAGCAACTCTTTCCCCCAACTCACTTGCAGCACCGCTTTGACGATGTTTGTGAACAGGGCCTGCTCTGGGCCAGGCTGACCAAAGTGTGAATATGGCTCCACCACTTTTTGACTACATAACCTTTGGCAAGTTTTTTAATCTCTCTAAGTCCCAGTTTCCTCATCTGTAAAACGGGGCTGTTAATAGTACCTATCTTACATATGTTGTGAAGAGTCAATGAAAAGATGAATTCAGGGGCTCCTATAGTCCCTGGCACCAGAGAGTACTCAATTCATGTTCATTTATTTTCTTACCATTATTGTTATTAATCTGATTTCATGTAATGCCTCCCTAAATCTTAAATAAAATTTTTTCATGATTTTTTTTCTTAGATGTGAGGCACATTTTTCAATAGGATAAAGTCTATTTTATCAAATCACATCATTAAATTGTTATTCCATCTCATCATATTAAAAGTTTAATGTTTTTTGAGCTGGTTGGTTAGCTCAGTTGGTTAGAGTACGGTGCTGGTAACACCAGCATCTGGGGTTCAATCCCTGTACCAGCTGGCAAAAAAAATTTTTTTTAAGTTTATTGTTTTTCTACCTCCTATTGACAGAAATTAATGTCATATAAATTTTTTTTTTTTTTTTTGTCTTTTTCCGTGTCCGGCAACGGATCGCAACCCTCAGTGTTGCCCCCGC